TAAATGTGAGCTCAGACCCCATGCATTGGGTCTTTGGAGGAGGTTATTTCATCCCTTACATCCTCAGTTTCTTCACAGGCAGTGTGAAGATAATAATAAATTGCCTCACAACTGCCTTACAAGGCTGTGGTCAGAAGCAAATGATCTAGAATATTTATTCGTTTGTTTCTTTTTTTGTTTATGAGATGGGGGTCTCACTGCATTTCCCCGGCTGGTTTACATCTCCTGGGTTCAAAGAATTATCCTGCCTCTGACACTACAACTGCTGGCACTACAGGTGTCATGCCACCACACTGGCTCCATCAGTGACACTTGAAAGGAGCTTGTGAGGTGTAAAATGCTGCACGGTGTGAAGCCTTATTGCTGTATGTACACGAATGCTTTGACATGAAAGTGTTAGGTACTGTTAGGTACTGGTTTGAGCGTGTCCCTGAAAACTTCCTGTGCTTGACAGCTTGGTCTGTAGTGTGGCAGTATTGAGGTGGTGGAACCTGTAAGAAGTGAGACCTAGTGAAGATGGTTAGGTCATTGGGAGCACAGCCTTAGAAGGGATTAGTGTAGTTCTCTTTGGTTGGTAGTTAGTTTCCACAAGAGCAAGTTGTAAAAGAGCAGGCCTGGCCTCTCATGTAGTAATGTAGCCAAAGGGACCCTCATCAGGGACCAAATAGATGGGGACACCCAACTGGATCTTCAGCCTCCAAATCTGTGAGCTAAATAAACCCCTTTCTTCATGTATTATTCACCCTTGGGAATTTTATAGTATCAACTGAAAAATAGACTAATAAGGTACTATTCTGCACTGTCCCCCCTCAGTTGACAATAGTGCCGGAGTGGGCCTGTGTTGCTAGGTGGCTTCAAGTGGCAGCCACCTTGTCTTCTCTGAGCACTGGGGTGCCATTGGAATTTGATTAAAGCCAGTGAAGCTTTCTGGTTTTAGCCCTGGAGGGGAAATAATTAGGCAAATGTTATGAGTCTTTCTCCTCCTCTAAAATGCTTAAACTCCATGAAGTTCAGATTGAAACAACTGATAGATGATCAGTTAGAATAACTGATAAAGAACATGATGAAGACCTCCATGGATACTTGGGTTCTCAGCTCACTTAGGCAAGTGACCTTAAGCTCTCAGAGCTTCCACTGCCTTCCTGTCAGTACCTCCCACACAGGATGGTGTAAGGATGAAACGAGGTACAGATATAAAGCCACTGCTAGGCAGGAAGCAGGGAGCATGTAGGAGCCACCATCATCATCACTTCAGAGTCTCATGTGGAAGAGTCACTAGGGATCACCTGATCTCCTTGGGGGTAAAGATGGGTGTCAAGGGAATCTAGAAGGAATGTAGTGTATATATATGGTCACGACTATCATTTTTTCTGCATATCAACATTGAAGGTTTCCATTGGAAAAGTAGACTTTTTGTCTCGATTGTATTGTATTATATTGTATTGTATTGTATTATTTGTGTGGTGATAGAGAACCCAGATATTTTAATAGAGGTTAGATGTACACTTGGAAACTACTCATCTCCCGTAAACGTTTCATTTTATAGACCCACAGAGGTGAGGTGACATTCCCGAGGTCACCTAGCTACGGAGATTAATGTGGGCAACAGTCCATCCAGTCGCTCCTCTCACCACTGCCACCACCACTGCCACCACCACTGCCCTAGAATTGTCCTTGTGACCTCTGGGATTTTCTCATTACTATGGTAGAGATATCCCGGGCCACATAGCCATAGCCATGTACCCATTATTAAGCAGAGAGAAACCAGACAGAGCTCTGACATTGAGAAGAGGCCAAAATGATGCTTGAAAAGACCAAGAAAGATGTCCCTGGTAGGGGGTCCTGCACACTCACAGGGCAGCTCCTTGTCCCCCTGGGCAGTACCTCTAAACAGTCTGAGCTGGTGCCATCTCCTCAATGTCATTTGCATCCCTGCAGAGTAAATGAGTTTGGATGAAACCTTCATTTCTCTCAACAGCAGATTTCCTATTTCAAAAGTCAACCTCCTGTCAGATTCTCCCAAAGGACAGATGGAGGGTGTTGGGTCCCAGGAGCAAAATGGGGCTCCCTATTGAGCCCCGCCGTTTGGATGGAATGTACTCTCTGAGTCCTGCTTCTGGCACTGGAAAGGGTGGTGTAGAGCCACCTCTATTAATTTTTTTTGTGGCTGAGGTGAGGGGTGCTATTCAATCTCTTACACCTTGTATCAGAGAAGACATGCTGCAGTCCCCATGGCGCACAGAATAAAAGGCAGACGTCACATCTAGCACACTGCCCCTTTGAAATATTCTGACCCCCTCTACTACATAAGTAACCTATGTAGTAAGCAAAGAATGAGTGGAAGCTGCCATTGCTATCACTTGAGACTCTCAGAGCATTTGGGAACTTGCTTCTGCTTCTGGGACCTGGCTTTGGGAATTTCTCACTTCACAGGCTGCACTCTTCATCTTTCTGTCCCTGACCCATGGCTAAACATTGCTACTCCCACCTTCTTTTCTGCTAGACTTTTTTGTTTGTTTTGGCTTTTTTGAGACAGTGTCTCATTGTGTAGTTCAGGCTGGCCTTGAACTCACAGCTATCCTCCTGCCTCAGCTTTCTGAGTACTGGGATTACCCGTGTGCACCATCATGCCTGGCTCCTCTGCTAGACTCTTGACTGGCCCAATCTGCACAGAGACTTTCTGATCATCTGCTTTAAACTTTGTTTCTGTCACCAGTTCATCTTCTTCTTCGGGTGCTTCATGGCCTAGCTTGAGGGACAAAAGTTACCTCCTCAGGGCAAGGAGCAAAGTTGCAAAGGTAGCAAGTGACACTCATGATCTAGAGCTGAACGCCATACTTTTGGGTCTGAGGATAAGGACACCTCCTCTGCCATCATCGGGCTTCCAACCCCTCAAATATTAAGGCTCTTTTATGAGACTTACACACACCAACTGTTTCCACAGCTGGGGGCAATAGATTACCCTGTCACCAGCCAAAAGAACCCCAAAACCTGAGTTGGGGAAATAAAAGACAAATGTGGACTGGAGTCTAATTTGTGAAGTCCTGACCAGTGTAGCTCTGACCTCATGTGATGGTAGCTCCTGTCACAGCAATAGCAGCTAGCCCCAGCCCAGGGGAACTTGGGGTCACTGAGGAGGAGAATGACAAACTCAGGCCCAGGGTTGTGTGAAACAGGCCGGAGGGCATAGCCAGTGAGAGACTTGTGCCAAGGGGAAGGCCAGCAATATTTTAGCAGGGAAGCCCTCCTGAGCTTTAGGTGGTGGTCCAGGCTATCTTTTCTGTCAGGGAGGCAAAAGGAAGGATGCTATCAAACATAGCCTCATCCAGCACAACTTCTGAGCCAGGCAGATATTTTGCAATTCTTAACTCATTCAGTCCATGATATATGTGCTTTTATTATTTCCTAAAAGGGATCTCTGTATTAGAAAGTATAGATTATGTAACTGATATGTAGCTCTACATCTTCCAAGACTCCTGAGATGGTCAGGCTGCCTTTGTCCTCTACACTGATTGGAATTCAACACTGACTTTCAATCTCTCCCAAGAATTATTACGGTTCTCAACCTAGGGAGATTTAAAACAACACAAGTGCCTGGGATCCACTCCTTAGAAGCTGTGATTTCATTTGCTTGAGATGAAGTCCAGCTTGCAGGGTGGTTTTCACAGAAGTTCCTCAACTTCAAAATACACATCTCTCCCTAACAAACATCTTACATCTGTTGTTCTGCCTCGCCTTCCAGCTATGGCTCTAGCTTTTTCCTCTCTAACTACAGCCAGACCACCTGAGAGATGGCTCCAGTCCCCTCCCATTTACCTCTTTAACCTGCTTTGGTGTGGCCTCTGTGAAGCCATCTTTGCCAAGGACATCTCCTTGATGTTGCTAAAGGTAAGAGTTCCTGCTCAGGCCCCAGCCTACTGACCTTGAATACAGGCAATGACATGAACCATCCATTGCCCCTAGAAACTGACCCCATCCCAACCTCAGGGACACAATGCATTCACCTTGTCTAGAGTTTTCACAGCAGTCTTTCTGCAATGGCTACTGTACCAGGCTGTACAAATGTATCCTGAAGGTGGGAGACTCACAAGCCCTGGCCTTGACATCAGGAAGTTGAAAGTCATCAATACAGGGTTCCCCCCAGGGGAGCCCTCTAATTCTTTCTCACAAAGCTGCTTCCCTATTTCTGACAGACAGAAGAGAAAGCAAAGCTCATGCTGGATCTTTTGCTACTCTGTGTGGAAGAGCCAGTGATGCCTCCCTTCTGATGAGAAAAGACGGTTATTGGGCTACAAGCTGAGTTCCTTACCCATGCTCATCTCACCAGTATAGCTGTTTCTTACTGACTAACAAAGGAGCCCCTTTGCAACCAGCTTCTGGCATGCCTGACTTGTTTCCTGGATCCTTGTCCTTCTGAACACACAGAAACAAATTTGGACAAGATGTGTTTGAAAGCCAGCAATTATCTCATGCTTTGTGCCCTGAGAAATAAGCTTTCATAGAATCTGTGACCTACTGAACAGAACTGGGGTGGAAGAAGTAATGAGAAGTCAGGAGGTGCCTCCTGATGCCACGGAGAGCTAGACTGGGCTCCAAGTTCGTTAGCCTGGAGTTGTTGGGCCTTGGGAGGGTCCTGTCCCTCCTCGAGCCTCAGTTTACTCTCCTGTTAAGTGGGTCCACTTGTCTTTACCTCCTCTGTCCGTGGTAAGGATGATAGGAATAAGATGAGCTTTCCACCACTGTCAAGTAGGCCCTCACTAGGAGCTGGAGAAACTGAAATGAATTGCATCCAGCCATAGTTCACAGACTTATTCCAGGCCAAGAGAGAAAGTGTGTGCAAGAGAGACTTGCAAAAAACAAGGCCTATCTCTGTGCACGTCGCTCCTCTGGGAAGGAAGGGGCTTGAACAGTGACAATAGACCAGGGGCGCTGACTCAGACGGCCAGTTCCTGTTCATTTCCCCTCGCTGCAGGACAGCAGCTAAGCAGGAGGTCAGCCCTCATATGACTCTGACTTGGGACTGTGGCTGAGATCCTTTCTTAGAGAGAAAACAAGCCCAAATCACAGATAGCTCCCCTCACTGGTCCGCTGTGACTAGGGGGACAGGACCAGTGAGCCTGTGGGCGGAGGGCAGGAAGTGGGAAAGGAGAAAGAGGAAACTCACTTTTTGAATCTTGAGTAGCTTTCCCTGAGCTGGGCTGCCCTGGGACAACTTCACTGGGCAGACTGACTCAGCCAGAGTGCTGGGCAATGGGGTTCGGGAAGAGTCCCTGGGTGCCCCACTGAGGAGCCTGGGGAGAAGGTTTGGAACAGTGGGGATCCCCTTGACTCCCGGACCCCAGTGTGGACCCACCACACACTTCTCTGTTGTATGAGGATTGGCTGGAGGTAGATCCTTGATTTTCCACACCACTGGGATGGAGAGAACTGAGCCTCTCACCCTCTTCTGGACCCGGGGAGGTGAGTTGGGGAAGAAGGGTCATGTACTTAGCAGAGGGAAGAAGGGAGGAAGTTGGGGTTCGTGGCAGGAGGAGCGGGGAGGCGCTTTCTGCAATCAGAGCTGTGCTATAGTAGCCCAGGCTATGTTGAGAGAAAATGAGCCCCTAGCACTAGGGGTGTGCAAAAGGACATTGCTTGGGAAAGATGCTGTACAAGGGGATGGCTTTGGGAATGGAGAGGGTGGATGTGACCACATCCCAACCCTGATATTCTAGGATCCTAAAGGAATAATAAAAGTGACAGAGAGAGAGAGAGAGAGAGAGAGAGAGAGAGAGTAAGTGCGCATGCATGCTCATCTACTTTTGTCAGATCAACTTTCTGTAGATTCTGAGGCTTTGTCCCTCAGATGGACCTTGGTCACCCACCTCCAGGATTCCTGCCAAAACATGGAAGCTGGGAAAGGCAGGGGACGGGTGTCTATCGCTGGTCATTTCTGCACACATGTTATTGCCGACAGACCAAGTACTTTCTAATCGCACTTTACACTCGACTTCCTGGCATTAAGACACAATGAAGTCCAGGGTCCTGTGCCACACCAGGACCCCTCTCTGACTTGTGTGCAAAGGATAAGGCAGAGTGGTGGAGGTGACACCATAGTTCTGTGCCTGAGAACCTATGGGAAGCTACTGTTACAGTGTCCCTGGGGTTCTAGTTGGCTCTTTATGTCAGAAGTACCCTTAAAAGGCATTTATAAGCTAATGTAATTGGAAAAGTGGAGTGATGAGATTGAAAATAAAGTCTTGTGTGCACTGGGTGCTGCTTGGCATGGAGAAGAATCCGAGGAATGTGATGTCTGCTCTTCAGGTCTCTGTGGGTCTGTCACAAGGTGAGGTGAGGGGACAAGGTCTGAGTGAGTCCTCAGGCGGCAGAGCTGGCACCTTTGAACAAGGAGGAACTTCCTATAGACTCCTCATGGGAGCCAAAGTTCCAGTTTGAGAGCCTTTAAGAAGACAATGGGATGTGGCAGTGGGATGGTGAGGGGCTGCTGTCACCTAGGATGGAAGGTGGGCCCCACCCTTCAGCCTCTACCTTCCCCCCGCCCCCACAGTTCCTCCTTCATCTAGGCACCCTAGGCTCTCTTCCTGCAACGGAGTCCTGGAGTTCCTCCTCCCACTTTCCATCTCCACCCTGCAGCCAGAGCTCGCTTTTACAAAACACACCAGGCTGCTCCAAGTCCTCTAATGGCCTCCTATTGCCCACTGGTGAAAGTCTTGTTTTCTTTCTCTTCTCTGTTACCTCCTTTCTACTTTAAAAACAGAGCAGAGATAAGATCATTTCTCACTCTGATACAGCTCTGACATTTCATAAATCTATGTCCTAGATAACTGGAAAGGGCTATATTTAACCTTGAAGCTTTTAATGGAGGGGCTTGGAGAAGGCGCTGCCTTCTAACACCACGGGAGGCAAGAGTCTTGTCTTTGTTCTCTGCCAACCGAGCCCAGCTGCAGCTTGGAGAGGTCAGAGCTGCCTCTTGCTCCAGTGAGGTGGCCAGGCTGCTCGGTCAGCCCCACCCCAGAGCATCTACCTCACCTTCTCTCTGTAAGTGAAGGGGATCCTGCACCCCTCTAGAACATGCCCCTCAGCTTTCTTATCTGAAGATACTTGAAAGACTGCTCATTGACCCCATTGCTGGGATAAGTGAGGTGACTGGTCGGTCCAGGAATAAGACAGAGAGGGTCTGGAGAACTGAGCTGTGAGCCTGGGCTAGGGAGAGAGATGGGAGAGGAGAAAATGTGTTGTCAGAGGCCTGGTTATGCTGTGGGCGTGTGGGGAGGTGAGGGTGAGTGAATTAGCAGGCCCTATACTCAAAGCATTGTGACCCTCGCTGCAGTCCTGTGAGGTAGGTCATTATGCTCCAGCAAGGGACCTGGGGCTCAAAGGAGTTAAGTAACTTCTTGATGTCATACCTGGATGGAAAGTGACAGAACCAGGCTACACCCAGGGCTGTCAAACTCCAAAGCCCAGTTGCTTTGCCCAGGCCTAGGATGTCCTTGGCTAAATTGTTATTGCCCTTTGGAGCAGCTTTGATGTGCTGGCCTCTCTTCTTTTCTTTCTTTTTAAAAATTATTTATTTATTTATTTAGTTTTAATTTTTTTTTTTTAGAAAGGGTCTCACTTAGTAGTCTAGGCTGGCCCTGACTCACTATGTAGCCCAGGCTGGCCTCAAACTCAGCAATTCTCCTGCCTCAGCCTCCTGGGTGCTGGGATTACAGGTGTGCACCACGACACCCAGCTGGCCTCTCTTATTTTCTTTGGGTTACTTTTGTCAGTACTGGAACCCCTGGCAAACTGTTTCCACACTGCCCATCACCTAGGTCCCAGGCCCATCGCAATCTCTGCCCCTAGCTGAGGAGCCCAGCCCAACAGTTTGGGTTTCTTTTCTTTTTCTTTTTTGTAGTGCTGGGGATTAAAACCAGGTCCATGTGCTAGGCAAACACTCTATCACTAAGCTACATTCCCAGCCCTTTTTATTTTATTTTGAGACAGGCTTTCATTAAGTTGCCCAGGTTTGCCTTGAACTTGTAATCTTCCTGCCTCAGCCCTCTGAGTAGCCAGATTTACAGGCATGCGCCACCGTACCAAGCTAGTAATTTGGGTTTCTTATGGGTGTCCCTGCTCTCGGGCCTCATGGGCTGGCCTCTCCCATACTCTGTTCTCTTCAGCCCAGTAGATAACAGCTCCTGGGAGCAGTACCAAAACAATAAGTTTTACTGTTATGTCCATGTCTGTTCCCTAGAATGCCAACATCAACCTTCTTCTGTGACCTGGGACATATCATATCCTTCCTGTGGTCCTAGTCTCCCCAGCTGCAGAAATAGGAAGACAGGATTCTCTAAGGGCCTTTCCAGTTCCAAGAGGTGAGGATTCCCAGGGCCCTGTCCCTCTGCTCAGCTCAACCTTACTGCTTTTTCACCCATAGTGTGTGTTAGGTTGAGGATCACCACAGGCACAGGTTTGGAAACCTTTACTGGGCGGAGCTCTTGCTCCAGAGCCAAAGGACAAAGTGACAGCATGGTAATAACATGTGTAGGGCCCTTTATTGTTTACCAGACTTTCATAGTCAGCAGAGTGGTAGGGAGGGGACTCCAAGGTGATTCGAATGGTACATGGTACAGCTATAAAGAATATTGAATTACATGGTGAGAAAAATGAATCTCTTTCCAGCTTTCTGATTACATCAAGGAGAAAGTCTCATTGTGGCATTATTCTTCAACCTCTATTATGCTGGCTAATCTCCTTCCCTACAGAGTTAGAATGGGCCTCAGGCTGAAAGACATGGACAGGTGACAATGTCTACATAGAATTTAATTCTTTTCTGTTTCCACTGTATTTCATGGCCCAACCCTTTTTCCTTTTTTATTATATTAGTACATGTTTGCAGTTCATGCAGCTTATAATCATCTTGGGAAATGGTTACATGTACATACCACAGCTTATTTCCTTTTTTTTAAATCACCTTTCCCTTCACTCTCCCTCCCTCCCTCCTCCTCCAATTTCCCTAACCCATTTTTTATTCTTATTGATATTTTAATCTGAGCTCATATTATGGCATATAATATTTCCATTATTTGGCTCCTGCACATGGTATGTGTTTATTCTACTTATTTCTCCTTCTCCTCCTCCTCCCTGCACTTTTTCCCTTTAGATCACTTGCCTATTGCAAGAAAATCCATTTCTGCATCCCCTTCTATCCATCCCTTATTATTTTCTTTATTTGTACTTTGCCTCACTCAAATAAGAGATACCATATGGTATCCGCCCTTTTGTGGCTTATTTCACTCAACATTGTATCTCCCAGGTACATCAATTTTCCTACAAATGTCTCAAGTATGAAATTCTTTATAGCAGAGTAGTACTTCATTATACTCAGATACCGCATTTTTTTTATCCAGTCATCTGTTGTTGGGTATACAGGTTGTTTCCAAGATTTAGCTATTATGAATTGTGCTGCTATAAGCATCGGTATGCATGGATCACTATAGTGTGATATATTAAGCTCCTTAGGGAAGACACCTAGCAGGGGAAATAGCTGGGTCATATGAAAATTTCTAATTTCAGTTCTTTGAGAAATCTCCATCTGATTTCCAAAGTGGTTGTACTAGTTTACACTCTCACCCAGAGTGAAGGAGGGTTCCATTTTCACCACAGCCTCCCCAACATTTGTTATTGTTTGATTTCTTAATGATTGCTGTTCCTTCTGGAGTGAGATGGAATCTTAGCATTGTTTTAATTTGCATTTCTCTGATCTGTTTCTCTTTCTCAACATCTGATGGCTACAGATGTTGAGCATTTTGTCATATATTTGTTGACCATTTTTATTTTTTTCTCTATGAAGTGTCTGCTCATTTCTCTTGACCATTGCTTGACTGGATCTTTAATTTTAGGTGGTTCAATGTTTTTGAGTTCTTTGTATGTTCTAGATATGAGTCTTCTGCCTGAGGAGTAGCTGGAAAACATTTTTCCCATTCTGTAGGTTGTCTCTTATAGCCCAACTTTTTATAGTTACCTTCTAGTTATGGCACATGATATTCCTTTTGTTTGGGGAATTTTGTTGATATTCTTTGGGCAGTACTGAGGAATGAACCCGGGCCTAGCACTTGGATGTGCTCTACTATGTGCTCTACCATTGAGCCACATCCCCGGGCCTAGCACTTGGATGTGCTCTACCGTGTGCTCTACCATTGAGCCACATCCCCAGCCCTTTATTTTGTGATTTTTCTTCGCTATGTAAAATCTCTTTCTCTCTCTCTTTTTTTGTTTTCGCGTTTTGAGACAGGGTCTCAATATATAGTTTAGAGTTGCCTTGAACTCACTATGTATGTAGCCTAGGCTGGCCTTGAACTTGCAGCAATCCTCCCACTGGGATAACAGGCAGGCATACCACTCTTGAAAAGATAAATCTTGTAATATAAATGTATTTAAAGGCAGAGAAGCAGAGAGAGAGAGAGAGAGAGAGATTG